TCAAAAGGCATTAGCCTCAAGAAATAGCGCTGCAATCGTGGCGGCATTTCACTCAGGTTCTTTTGTGAAATAGCAAGCAAAGGTCGGTGGTCTGTTTCGACTGTCACTGATAACCCCAGTACGAACTCCCGGAAACGCTCACAAGCAAACGTCACGGCCAGCGCTTCCTTTTCAATTTGGGCATATTTTGTTTCAGCCTTTGAGAGCACCCTTGAAGCATAACCCACTGGGCGCCAATCTTGGTCATGGAGTTGAAGAAGAGCAGCACCTACTGCAAAGCTTGATGCATCAGCTGAGAGTTTCGTTTGCTTCACTGGGTCAAAAACTGCGATCACTGGAGCCGATGTCAAAGCCTTAATAAGATCTTTCCATTCTTTGTCATGGTGAACTTCCCATATGAATTCAACATCATTCTTTATCAATGACCTAAGGGCGTCAGTTCTTTTTGAGAGATTAGGTATGAATTTGCCAAAGTAATTCATAATACCTAAAAACCTTTGAACTTCCTGTTTACACGACGGCTTTTGCATGTTGGCAACGCATTCAATGAGACTAGCATCGGGTTTTATTCCTTCTTTGCTGATACAATCTCCCAGGAATTTAACTTCGGCCTTCGCGAACAGACACTTTTCTTTGTTCAGTGTCAGGCCAGCCTTTCTCGCTGCCATCAGTGCTGCACGCAGGCGTTGATCATGCTGCTCTTTTGATGCACCCCAAATTAAAATATCATCGACATATACGCGTGTGCCCGGCAGGTTTTCAAACACTTCCGTCATTGCCTTCTGAAATACTTCGGGGGCGGACGCGATACCAAATGGCAGGCGCAAAAATCGGTATCTTCCGAACGGCGTGCTAAAGGTGCAGATCTTTGAAGTGTCTTCGTCTAAGGGGATCTGGTGAAACCCGCTATTGGCATCAAGCTTGGTGAACATCACCGCTCCTGCCAGCTCTGCTTCTATTTCTTCACGTGAGGGTAGCTGATAATGCTCGCGTTTAAGGCTTCGATTAATGTACCGCGGGTCTAGGCATATTCGCATGCGGCCATTCTTCTTCATAATAAGAACAAGTGGACTCACCCAGTCTGACGGCTCTTCCATTTTGCATATGATGCCCTGCGAGACCATCCGGGCCAACTCCTGCTTAAGTGGCGCTCGCAGTGCGTGTGGCACTTTCCTCGGCGGCATGATCGTGGGGCGCGCATCATCCTTCATTGCCAGCGAATATGGTCTACGGATGCAGCCCAGACCGTGGAATAACTCCGGGAACTCGGTGACCCAGTCGGTGCTAACGTCACTTCTTGAAGATACATCGTGAACGCGGGAAATCAGCCCGAAACGTTCTGCTGCATTCAATCCGAGTAGGACTTGCTTGCCTCTCTTGACCACAAAAAACTGATATTCTCTTGCTGCTCTCCTAGACGTAGTGGCAGACTGATAACGCCCAAATGATGTATTTTGCTTCCTTCGTAGTTAGTAAGTACTGTGGTCGATGGCCGCACCATGGTCGGCAAACGCATCCTGCGAAAGTACGAGTACGGCAATATGTTCGCTTGCGCTCCTGTATCCACTTTCAGTTCTGTCGGGTGCCCGGCAAGGTCCCCTGCCACCGTCCAATCCTGATTTTTGGACACGTTTCTGATTTGTACCGTGAGAACTTGAATGTCTTCATCGGTAGCGTCCGAGGACTCCTCCAGTGCATCTTCTGTTGCAGCGACGCCTAACTCATGAACGCCGCGTCTACTCCTGCAGCAAGCTGCAAAATGGTTTCTTTTGTTGCACAGCGTGCACGTTTTTCCAAACGCTGGGCAGCGTCTTGGTCCGTGAATCTTGCCACAGTAGCCACAGCGTCGACGTTGTCCGCTCGTACGAGACTGTCCGGCAGCGTTTGCAATTTTTTCGACTCTCTGCACTTTCGCTTCGCTTTCAAGAGCCCGGTTCTGCGTTGCTGCCAGTTCCGCGGCTTTGCAGATTTCTACAGCTGATTCTAGGGTTAAGTCCTTCTCCTGAAGCAGGCGTGCACGTAGCTTCTTGTCGACGATACCGCACACTATCTGGTCCCTCACCATCGAGTCCCTAAGTTCGCCAAAATTACAAGTCTGTGCTTTCAACTGAATGTCGCGCAAAAACTGTTCGAAAGGTTCACCATCCTGTTGTTGCCGACTGCGCAGAACGTACCTCTCGAATGTCTCGTTGCACCGAGGCGTGCAGTAGTCTTCGAAGGCTTTGACGATCGAGTCATAGTCCTCTCGTTGTTCTGCTGATAGAGGTAGGGTGTTAAACACTTCAATTGCCTCTGGGCCCGCGACGTGTAGAAAGATGGCAGCCTTCTGTGCTGGCGTCCGTTTCTTGTTGGTCTCAGTAGCTTTGAAGTAGAGTTCGATTCGTTGGCGGAACTTTTTCCAGTTGTCGGCCGGAGTATTTGTCAGTACAAGTGGCTCGGGTGGTGGTAGGCAGTCCATCTTCAGCGCAGGGTTCGACTGTTACACTTCTGACACCATGTTCTGCTTTACGCGCTCCGCAAAGACACAACCACACGAGACGCTAGCTAGCAAGGGACTGTTTATTGATGGCTGCCGCGCCGCGCGCGCGCCCTCTCTCAAGGTGGCCAGGTGAGGTGGGATCATCCCGATTTATTAAGCGGTGGCCCGCCTGGTACACCTTCGTCGCTGATGCCTTCATCGCTGACCATGTGACATCAAACCACACCTGTCAGTTGGTTTGCATGTGTAGATTACTATCAGATGAAAAATCTAGATCACAAAACTGATTTTGATTGAAACACACAAATCATAACAATTTATGTCATAACTGAAATTCAGACAACTTTCACTTAGGTTTGAGAAGTCACGCTAAGGCTAGCATTTGTACGGAACAAGTGTCATTAATAGTAAACTTGTAAAGAGATTCATTGTCAATCTGTCATCATACCTTTGTGATCTTGCCACTATCAGTAATGTTATAATAGAAATATAAAACAGCACTTAGGCACAGAAAAGAAGAGGCATAAACGACGTCTAAGTGCCGTTTCTATCATGCAACCTGACCAACTCGCCCAATCTGCTTGTCTTCTTTCACTTTAATATTGTGCTGCTTGATACCTCCATGTTAGATTTAGATGCATTTGATTTCATTTTTGTGTGCCTCAAAAGTTATATACTTTTACACTTTATAGAAGGTGCATTATTTTTGTGTTTTCTCACCATGTATTCATAAATGAACACCAGCAATTTCATGGTTATGTTACATGCTGTGCCATTACACTTATTCGGATAGTGAATTTGAAATGTAAAGTGAACTTCAAGTGAATAGAGATTGCTTTGAATAATTTCGAATCGAATAGCACATATCGCACGTTCTACTGAAAAATGTACATATGTGACATGACCCAACTAACCTACATTTTTTTTTATTGAAACTAGGCAAATGTAAATGTCATTCTTTTTGGTTTAAAAGTAAAGTGCAAGTGATGACCTGCAAAATATGTTATGTTTTAAAATTTACTATATATATAGCATACAAGCTGGTATAATAAGCTTTTAAATTTAAAAATAAATGAAGAGTCCATGTGAGGGCGAAATGTGCATTTAACTTTGAAGTAGGGCTTCGTGGGAATGTAGTTTTTTGCTGAAAAAGTGCGTTCACAGTATAGCACTTCTCCACTGCAGTGAAAACAGCTTTACAAAGTGTCGCATGCTGAATATTTAATTAAAATTGAGACGAATTAGAATAGTTATTATTCGTTCGAATATTCGACATGCCCAACTATTTGAAGCCTATTTGCTATATGAAATTACGAAAAACAACAATTCGATTCGAGGTGAAGTTGGCAGAGATTCAAAGAATGAGGGTATGCCAAATAGTGAACGAGAGTCACATACAACGACCTTATGTTCTCTTGGGTCAATGAAAGTGGACCAAAAGTGACGCAGATGATGTGTGCAGACTTGTGTCTTTATTGAACAGTGAGCTACTCCTCATACATGGTTATTTGTTCACATCGGTTTTCCTATTTATTACTCTTGTATATATATTAGAAGAATGAGCTGGTGTTTGCAGTGTCCTTGTTTTGTTTACTGACAGAAGCCATGCTGTATCACCAAGCTACACAATTCCAATCACAGTGTTTTATTCATCTAGCTTACCATGCCACAAATCAAAATGAGCTAAGAAACGAATATAACTCAAACCTCATTATAACAAAGTTGCATCTTACATGAAAATAAGTACGTAATACCCAAAATTTGTAAGAAAGGTCAGTTTCTAACGCTGTATTTATTGCAAGACTATTTTAACTCATGTTTAACTCATGTCATTATAACCAGTATTTTTTTTAATTGGGTCCGTTATACCAAGGTCTGAGTGCATAACACTCTTTCTGAAGTCATAAGAGACACTTCAGTTCAAATAAAACTAGCAGCACTAAAAGAAGACAAGTGACTTGTTAACAAAAAGTAGTACACTCAAACCTTGCCTCTAGCACAGCAATAACTTCTATATATATCCAAAAGTTCATTGTAAACATATAGTCACATTGCCATTTTCATTAAGGCCACAATTAATTTACTTCATTAAAGCAGAAAATATGTTATACTAGATATTAGTTATATCAAAATTAAAGTGTAGCCTTCTTCATGTTAGAGAAGAATGCCTAGGAGAGTTTAAACAACTTTTGTGAAATGTATACCATATGTTATAATTAGCAGCATTCATGTAAACTCAAACCTATATATAAGATACATGGACTTAGCGAAATATCAATCATAAAACAGTATATGTAGAACAGTATTGCAACAGCTACAGTGTTGGAAATCTTCACTTAATTAGAATTTTTGAATATAAAGAACTTATTTTCATGTAAGATGCAACTTCACTATCATGACATTTGACCATAATTGACACTCATGAATGCACCATAAGGGGTCAATGTTACGATTACATGAGCTTTCACGTCGACAGCATGCACAAGGGCCCGACGGGGGCTCAGCATATGCGACAACATACCTTGAGCTCCTCGTAAAATTGGCTTGGTTCGTGAAGCACGATGACATTGTCGCCCGAAACGGTGAAACCAGGGCCGAACTTCCACAGCCAGTGGAAGTCCTCCATGGCGCCTGAATTTGCCACCAATGGCTAGTTCAGAGAGGAAATGAATAGCACCTGCAGCTAACTGTGGCTACCCAAACAAAAGTAGACACAGAAAGAACGTAATAATACTTTCTTTCCTCGCCTCGTTTTCTTCCTAATCCTTTTTTTTATCACAAGATACACACAGGGTGTTCTGAAATCATGCAGCATGATTAAAAAAAACGAGGAACATTGTTGTGTGAAGTGCATTCACTGCATATTGTTGCCAGTATACTGTACTAGCCACTACTAGTTTTGTTATTATTGAGGAGTACTTATTTGTTTATAATTACATTTATAAATCTACATATACTCACCTAATCATTAAAATTTCAACGAGGCATATTAAAATGACATCTAACAACTAATTTTCAGCAACATACTAATTGAGTGATTGCTTTTTGGCTAACAAAGAAAGCCTGCAAACATCAGACAAGATCACTGTTAGCCAGCAAGTCAACACAGCGTATTATTTTCAAGCAGCTGAAGGGGCTGGTTGGTGTTGCATCTCTCACGCTTTTATCATAAAAGGACAGACTGAAGGAGTCAAGAGGGGCGCACAGTGTCCATGCCTGTACGATAAAATGTGCAATTACACAAGATTATTTTTCATATTGTTTATCAGCTGGGGAAACGTGCACGTAATTAGTAAGTTGCAGGAAAGAGGGCAGCTAGACATTGCTTAAGCATGTCTACGTATGCCTCATAGACATTTCTTTATTTTATTATTTTATTTATTAATACCTCACAGGCCCCAGAAGAGGCATAAGGTGAGGGGGGCATACAGTGCAGTACGATCCCTTAAATACGCGTATTATCAGAAATTCGCGACGTAGCAGAAAATATTGTGCAGGAATAAATACAGATTGCAGTTACAGAACACATTAATACATTCTAATAAACATTCTAATGATTAGGTGAGCACTTGTCGAGTTAGAAACATAATTAGGACTAATAACTAAACCTCATCAACAAAACAATTTGTAGTGGCTAAAGTGGGGACAATATGTGTGCTTCGTGCAACAATACTATTCCTTTTTAAATCGTGATATTTAGGGCACCCGGTATATATAAGGCCACCGTCACATGGTCAAACCCAATCTGAATCGTGTTGTCAGTCTGCGTATCAAGAGCCAGACCACTATGCACATATATTGGGCTCGTCTTGATTGGGCCTGATCTCCATTGAAGTTGATCACCCTTTGACACCAGAAGGACACCCAAAAGCTGTCACTGACAGCTATTGTTATCACACGTGTCAGAATGTAGAAACTTGTGGATATCAACAATGTGAAAAAAGTTTGAAATTAAATGCAAACCAACATAGCTGAAGTAAATAAAGGAAACATCATATATAAATGTTAACTAACCTTTAAAATGGAGTAATATATAAACATAGCAGGCAAAGTACTTCAAGGTAATGCAGTATTCTGCAAGACTTATATTATTTTTGGATTCGGGTGAAGATATGCGTTAACTGAATCACCATTTTCAGCCTTGTAGTCATTTCTAGGCTCGTATCTGCACAGCTCTGATATGTCTGAGTGCTGCAGTCACCAAGGTAAAAATTTTTCCACCAGCTTTTATTCAACTGAAATGAACAAGTATAAGGTGGTTACAGTTTTTAATTACCAAATAATTTCCAGCTGGTCTGCAGTATTTTTAGGCAGTACTGTTCCAAAAGAATGCTAATAGTTAACAGTATAGGGAAGACATTTTTATATTACACTTTCCTTATTAGTTTACCTGCAGGTTATAACTTCACGCAGTTTTTCGCATTCTTTATTCTTTTATTTTTATATAGCTATAAATCACATAGGTTTCGTATAATTCTGTTATGCTTATCATGTTTGCATTTTAAGAATTGCTACTTCTTTTTCAGTATTATGTTTGCGTTATATACCTCTCTTTGCGGTATAATTAATGAGCTAATTTTCTAACTACTAACTGTTTTGATTATAATTGACCCAGCGTGTTTTTGCTACTCAGCGGGGTTTTCTTACTGGAATTCGGTAAATGTGTCAGCATATTACTTTATTTCCATATCTCGTATCTATAACCAAGTATTTATTATATTCAGCCCCTCCATTTTCTGTCCATTGAGGGTATTTCTAATAAAAGAATGAAACATGATATGAGCAGTCAGTTTGTCGAGGTGTCACATAAAAGGGGGAAAATATGACCACATCTTTAGAAGACAGTAAGATCCGAATTGTTCACTGATCCGGCCAAGGGTCGTATCAGTAAGATAAGTAGTCGTATTTATGAAAACTGATACGGTTTCCCACAATGTACGTCGTGGAGCTTAAGTGCGTGCGTGATGTTGCGTAATAAATCAACAAAAAGCCGGCTAACGAATGTAAATTTGGAACGAGGACTGGTGTAGAACTACCAGGATTTCCCCTGTAAACGCTCAGCAGTAAGTGAGCAGCTAGGTTTTACTGCAAGGCGACACACACATGCACTTTCGCTTAGCTAAGCTGAAACGTATACAGCTTAGCTAAGCTGAAGCGCTGATCGAAGCGTTTGGCGGGGCGTTTGGCCGCTGTCTCGATACGATAGCGTGAAACAACAGCGACACGTCCTGACATTAATTTAGGAGCAGTGTTATGAAATGTAACAGGGTCGCGAAATGACGCAATTGCATAGGGCCGAAGTTCGTGGCCTCCACAGAATGTATATAATAGAGCACTCAAACATGTATAAAGTAGTGTATACTTCAATCAGTGGGTCACTGTACATTTAAACACACTCTTAGTGAGACCTGTACGTGCGATCGTGGACGGTGCAAGTGAAACAGAACTAGTATGAACTTACACGAGAGATGCCGGAGCGAGCACGCTTCTACCAGCAGAAGACAGCGTCGTTCGCAAAAACAGCGTTACATGTCGCCAGCATCGACAAAAGCTTTGACCATAGCCTCCTAGATTTCTCTTGCCTGCCGGATGAGCGCGAAACGCCGCTCATTTATGGCGACGCTGCCTACGTAGAAATAAGGGTCTTTGTACTTGGCCTTTGAGATCGACAATTTTGGCATTTGCTACTAATTTTAAAGGATGCCTTGTATTGAAAAAGTTGCCTGCTGAATCACAACTTCACTTACGTAGGGTTAATTAAAATTACGTTTACGCGTTTTCAAAACTTTTTACGTTAATTTTGTTGCATTTAGGCTCCAAAAACGTAAAAACTTATTTGAAGACATTCCTACTTAGGTGGCGTCACCACCATAGTTTCGACGATGGTCGCTTTCTAAGTGACCGCCGATAATCTGGCAGGCAAAAGAAATCTAGAAGGCTATGATATTTATCTCGTAATCAAGTCGAGAGAGAGACGAGACAATCCGGCGGTCAAATTGCGATGGCCGTATGCGCATGTTTATGCGCGCCCACTGTTTGTCTGTAGTCTCGAGACGAGACGAATAGATTTGTTGCCGCGCTTCACGGTGACGTGAAAAGCGAGTTTACTCCACATAGCTCATGAAGTGGCTGTCGCGGCGTGCCCCTGCAACAGAAAATAGGAAGGCCAAAGTGGTACAGGTGTTCCCTGGGAGGGCCGCTGACGGCAAAATGTAATTGGCGAGTGCAGTTCTTTACCACCCTGCTACTCCCAAGCGCAATCCCCTGACAAACCTCTACCCCGTGTGTGCATTATTCCGTAGTTGAAAAAAAAAAAAAATGTCTGAGACTCGCTTCTGCATCGAGTACGCTAAACGTGGCACCGCGGGTTGCAAGAAGTGCAAGCAAAAGATCGAAAAGCAAGCGCTGCGCATCGGCAAGATCGTACCTAACCCGTTCTCCGATAGCGGCGGCGAAATGAAGCAGTGGTTTCACGTGGAGTGCATCTTCGAGCAGCTGTCGCGGTCCCGCGCGACCACAAAGAAGATAGAAGACGCCGGAGACCTTGAAGGTTGGAGCGAGATCGAACCGGACGATCGCAAGCTAGTCCTGAAGCACATTAACGAACTGTCTGAAAAAAATGGAGTCGCCGTAAGCCCTGGTAAGCGAAAGGCAAACGATTCCGACGGTGGTACGCCTTCTAAAAAGAAGAAAGTGCTGACGACTTCGACGTCTCAGGGATCAGATGACACGGGGGAAGAGCTAGACCTGGGAGACCTGGAGGCGTCGCCCGAGCGGACTTCGAAGACCAGCAAGGACGACGCCTTCAAGGAGTTCCGCAAGCTGTGCGCTGCCATCGCCGAGGAGTCGACCTACACTGGCAAGACCGCCATAGTGGCGAGGTTCTTCAAAGAGGGTTGTACCCGCAAGGGTTTCACGGGCGACCTCTACCTCTGGGTCAAGTTCCTCCTTCCCATGGTGAACAAGCGGGTGTACAACCTTCAGAGCAAACAGCTCGTCAAGGTCTTCAGCCGCATCTTTGGCAACGGTTGCCACGAAGAAATGATCGAGGACCTCGAACAGGGTGACGTGGCGCACACGGTTGGCACCTTCTTCGAGAAGTACGGCACTCCGGCTAGCAAGAGCATGCTCACCATGCAGGACGTGGACGCCTACCTGGAACGTCTCTCGAAACTCACCCGAGAAGACGACCAGACGCAGCTCCTGAGGCACCTGAGCGCCCGCTGCACGGTCAACGACCTGGTCATGATCGTTAGGCTCATCAAGCATGACATACGCATCAACTCTGGTCCGAAACATATCTTGGAGGCCCTCCACCCCGACGCGTATCAGGCCTTCCAGGCATCCCGAAACCTGGAGGACGTTGTGAGGACCTCGAAAGAAGGCAACGTCAGTGTCTCGGCCAGCCTGATGACCCCAATGATACCGATGCTAGCGGAACCCTGCGGTTCGGTGGATGATGCGTTCATTAAGTGTCCCAACGGCATGTATGCCGAGATCAAGTACGATGGCGAGCGTGTACAGCTACACAAGAAGGGCTCTGAGTTCTTGTTCTTCAGCAGAAGCTTGAAGCCAGTGTCTGCGCATAAGGTTCAGCACCTGAAAGACTTCATACCTAAGGTACGATATTCTCAATTACTTGGTACAGTTCGAAGATATTTATAAGCTAGCCAAGGGCCAATCATGCTAGAAATGCTGATAGGCAGAGCACTTACTGTTGTAAAGCTGTCAGGGTTGACATTTTGTTACAGAGAGCAGTGTGAATACATGTACAGTCAGCCACAAAAGTTTATAGACCACACGAGTACGTGCGAAACTGTTTGTCTGTGCCATCTATTGTTGGTTGCAGCACTGTGTCAGAAACAGGTCTTGTTCTTAATCACTGGTGTATCACTTTTATGCTGTCCCATAGCACATAGTTAGTTCATTGCTTTTGCATAAAGTGTAACGAGGGCAGTGGGCATGGAGCTCGAGTATAGAAAAGGAAGAAGACTTGCTGTGATCTTCAGTTAGCCCTTGCGCTAAATAAAGCTTCCGTTCGCCGAGTCAACTCCTGCTTGTTCAATAACCCGTTTCAAGTGGTGGAAGTGCGGGGTACATCTGGTCCTCACCCTCTAACTTCGTAGCCGCACACTCCAACGACCTCCTACAATGACTGATCCGGGGCCATCTCAGGCCGCTACTCCAGATCTCGCATTTGTGCCTGTCTTCTGCGCTGGCGCTCTCCGGCAGCGCGACCCCCCCATATTTGGTGGCACAGAGAACCAAGATGTGGACAACTGGATTGCTGAGTATGAACTGGTAAGCGCATACAATAAGTGGAACGCAGCCGATAAGCTCACAAATGTTAGTTTTTACCTGACCGACGTGGCAAAACTATGGTACAGGAATCATCAAAGTGATTTCAGTACCTGGTCGGAATCGGCAAAAACCCTCTCGGAAGTCTATGGCCGTCCTGCTGTCCACCGCCTTCGTGTTGAACAGCGCTTGCGGGGCAAAGCACAGAGGGCAGATGAAACTTGCACGAGCTACATCGAAGATGTGCTCTTTCTCTGCAAGCTCGTCCATTCGACTCTGGACGAGGCAGTCAAGATCAAGAACATCATGAAAGGAATCAACGACGGTGCATTCCTAATGCTGGCTGCGAAGAGTCCCCAAACGGTCGCCGAGGTGATTCAGCTCTGCCAAAGCTATGATGAGCTGCGTAGGCAGCGCGCTTCTACACGTTGTGCTGCTCAAGACACCGCGGACATCTCATCCCTTGACTATCGCCATGACACCGCCGACCACTCTGCGTTGATGCCACTCATAAAGCAATTCATACGCGAGGAGGTCGCCCGGCAGCTATCTATAATCACAAGAACTACCGAGCCGATGGCACCGTTGTCGCCTTCTCTTCGCCAGGTTATTCAATCGCAAGTTGCCGAAGCATTGCTGCCAGCTCAGGCTCCACCAACTGTTACCGCACCACTAACGTATGCAGCCGCAGTTGCTCGGCCACGTGCGCCAGCGTCTCCGGCCATCTACGAAGCTACTCGCCACGTTTATTCGTCGACGCCACCTTCCCGCTCGCTGACCGTCCCGTCTCCGGCTGCATACGAAACAGCTCAGAACGTTTATATGATGCCGCCGCCTGCACGACCATTTATGGTACCTTATTCAGCGAACAGTGCCCCTACCGTCAACCAATGGCGCACTCCGGATAATCGGCCGATATGTTTTTCATGTGGCATCCCAAGCCACGTAGCTTGTTACTGCCATCGTCGCAGCTTCCCTTCTCATGATATTGCAGGGGCCTCACGTTACATGCCCACCATGCCCACTCAGCCGCGATATCCCGTTCCTGCCGATCCACCTCTAGACGTACGTGCCGGTCACCGATCATCTGGCTCAAGCCGTTCACCTTCTCCTCGTCGTCAATCTATTTCTCCAATGTTACGTCGCAACAGCCCACCGCGAGGGGAAAGCTGACGGGCGCAGTTCCGGAGGCAAGAACTGCGTTGGCAGCGAAAATTTCAAGACCTAACTGCTGTCCCCCGAACGAAATCGAACTCTATATTGATGGCATTAAGGTGCACGGACTTGTTGACACTGGAGCTGCCGTATCTGTAATTAACGAGAAACTGTGCCGAAACTTGAAGAAAGTGACCACGCAACTTACCGACGTATCTTTGCAGACAGCTACGTCCCATCATATTCAGCCGTCAGCTTTGTGCACTGCACGCGTCGTCATTCAAGGTGCGATGTACGTCGTCACATTTGTAGTTTTATTCCGTTTTTCGCATCACGTTATGCTTGGATGGGACTTTCTTTCGTCAAATTCTGCTTTGGTCGACTGTGCTCGTTCCGAACTCGCGTTATCATTGCCGTGCCATGACCCCGACGATGGCGCTTTGTGTAGAGTGTTTGCTGCTTCTGACGTTGACATTGCGCCTTTCTCAGCTGTTGTTGTCTCGGTGTCATGTGCCTCCCCTCCGAAATCGCCTGTGTTGTTTATGCCATCGGTCCCATCTGCGTGCCGTCGTAATATCATGCTTCCGTTTGCAGTCGTCGTTTTTCGCAACGGTCACGCTGCCATTTATGTGTGCAATCCCTCGGACAGCCCGTCATCCCTACTATGTGGAGAATGCCTGGGAAGCTACGAACCTTACGAGTGCATTCTTCCGGCTACTATACCCAATTCTACGGTTTCGCTCCCAATTTCTGCTGTCATTCCTATCAACACGCCTAATGATGTTCTCGACGTATTCTCGGATGCCATCGACTCTGAGCTCGCACCAACTCAGCGAGAAGAGATTATAAATCTTCTACTCCGCTTTCGCTCTTCATTCGATCGTGACCAGTCAGGCTTAGGGCGAACCTCTGCGGTCGTTCACCGTATTGACACCGGTCAACAAGCCCCGCTAAGACAGCGTCTGTACCATGTGTCATCTGCTGAATGCCGTGTCATCAACGAACAAGTGGATGACTTGTTGAAACGTGGCATCATCGAGCCCTCCAACAGTCCCTGGGCTTCACCGGTTGTTCTCATCAAGAAAAAAGACGGATCCATCCGGTTCTGCGTTGACTACCGCCGACTCAACAAGATAACGCGGAAAGACGTATACCCTCTGCCGCGTATCGATGATGCTCTGGACTGCTTACAAGGAGGAGAGTTCTTTTCTTCGTTAGATTTACGCTCCGGCTACTGGCAGGTGCCCATGGCAGAGGGTGACCGCCCGAAGTCAGCCTTTGTAACACTGGATGGACTATATGAATTCACCGTTATGCCCTTTGGCTTCTGCAATGCGCCTTCCACTTTCGAAAGGATGATGGTTACCATCTTGCGAGGTCTGAAATGGAAAACGTGCCTCTGTTATTTGGACGACATTGTGTTATTTTCAAGCGACTTTGCGACCCACCTCAGCCGCCTTGAGCAAGTTCTTACGTGCCTTTCCACAGCGGGACTTCAACTTAACTTGAAGAAATGCCACTTCGGCGCTCGCAAGCTTGTAATTCTCGGCCATGTGGTTTCTAAGGACGGCATTCTTCCGGACCCTACGAAACTTAATGCAGTCGCGGCGTTCCCAAAGCCAACCACCGTCAAAGAGCTTCGAAGCTTCATCGGCCTATGTTCTTACTTCCGGCGCTACGTCCGCTATTTCGCCTCCATTATCGCCCCCTTGACCAATCTTCCTGCCGGAAATTCTGATTTGTCAGCGTGGTCGCAGGCGTGTGATGATGCATTTCAGGAACTCCGACGGCTCCTCACCGCGCCTCCCATACTCCGACATTCCGATCCGTCTTCTCCAACGGAGCTTCATACAGACGCTAGTGGTGTCGGGCTAGGGGCCATACTGGCCCAACGCATGGATGGCTTTGACGAGTACGTCGTGTCCTATGCCAGCCGCACCCTCAGTAAAGCCGAGAAGAATTACAGTGTAATTGAAAAGGAGTGCCTCGTCATTATTTGGGCAATCGGAAAATTTCGGCCTTATTTATATGTATGGACGTCCGTTTGATATTGTAACAGACCACCATGCGCTTTGCTGGTTATCTTCTCTAAAAGATCCTAATGGTCGGCTCGCTCATTGGGCATTGCGGTTACAGGAGTTCGATATCCGTGTTATCTACCGTTCTGGCCGAAAGCATTCCGATGCCCTGTCACGTTCGCCATTAGCTTCAGAGCCTGTCGGCTCGCCTATCTCCACCAGTGCTGCCTTGGCCATCAGCATTTCGGACATGCCTTCTGAGCAACGCAAAGATGCTTGGGTTTCTTCTCTTTTGGACTTGCTCTCAAACCGGACGCCCGCTCCAGTTTCCAGGACGCTTTGCCGTCAAGCAAGACTCTTCGCTATTCAGGATAACCTGCTTTACCGCCGAAACTACAGCTCGATCGACCGTAAGTGGTTGCTCGTCATTCCCCGACATCTGCGCTCTGACATCTGTGTCACGTTCCACGATGATCCGCAATGTGGCCACGCTGGTGTGTTAAAAACATACACTCGCTTGCAGCTGCGGTACTACTGGCGCGGCATGTACCGTTTCGTTCGCCGTTACGTAAGGTCTTGCCTTGTGTGCCAGCGACGCAAAATGCCCAATCAACATGCCACAGGTCCCTTGCAGCCGTTGCCATGTCCAGCACGAGCTTTCGATCGTGTCGGAATCGACCTGTACGGTCCGCTTCTCTATACTTCGAGTAGCAACCGCTGGGTCATTGTCGCTATCGACCACCTAACGCAGTACGCTGAAACAGCTGCGTTACCTTCTGCTACCGCAAAAAACGTTGCATGTTTTATACTGCTAAACCTGGTTTTAAGGCATGGAGCACCTCGGGAGTTACTAAGCGTACGCGGCCGCACTTTTCTCTCCGATGTCATCAAAGCGTTGTTGAGCGAGTGTCGCATCATACACCGCACTACCACAGCCTATCACCCGTAAACTAATGGGATGACAGAGCGTTTTAATCGTACACTTGGGAATATGCTGGCCAAGTATGCTTCATCCGACCAGTCAAATTAGGATAGCATACTGCCTTTTGTGACATATGCTTACAACACTGCAACGCAAAGCACTACTGGATTTTTGCCTTTCTTTCTTCTTTATGGACGTGAGCCATCGTCAACAATGGATACTATTCTTCCTCATCGACCGGACCCTTCAGAGAGGACTACCGTTTCTCGAGCAGCAGCACACGCTGCAGAATGTCGGAAGCTTGCTCGTGCGTCCGCGTCACATGACCAGACGCGCCAAAAACATCGCCACGACGCGTCAACCACGCCTATGAGCTTTGCTCCGAACTCAATGGTGTGGTTATGGATTCCTTCTACTCCTCCAGGACTCTCCCGCAAGCTTTCGTCCAGGTACCATGGCCCTTATCGAGTTGTACGCCAAACATTTCCTGTCAACTACCTGGTCGAGCCGCTGGATGCATCTCTGGACAAGCGCCGTCGAGGACAAGAAATCGTACACATCTCTCGGCTCAAGCCATACCATGACCCTTCTGTGTACACCTGTCCTTAGGTCGCCAGGATGGCTCTCTCATCGCCCGGGGTTTATTGTAACGAGGACAGTGGGCGTGGAGCTCGAGTATAGAAAAGAAAGACTTGCTGTGATGTTCAGTTAGCCCTTGCGCTAAATAAAGCTTCCGTTCGCCGAGTCAGCTCCTGCTTGTTCAACAACCCGTTTCAAAAGCATTTATTTGAATTATGACTGTCGCACTTCTATTTTGACCGCAGAAACACAGCTATCAAGGCTTGCCTGGGAAGTCTATCAGCATAACTGTTGAGAACAGAAATTAGCCCTAGCATTGATTAAAGAAAAATGCGTCTTGGGTGTAGCGATGCCGTTAATCACTGTTAATGTAGCAGAAACGTCACGAAGAAGCTCTTGGTCAGACACTTGCATAATTCGTAAACTTTTGTAGTTGTTTGTACATTGTACAATGTTATGTGAGGCAGCTGGGAAAGTTGAAAGGTTGCATGTGCTTGTCACAGAGGTGGCTGCATTCAGATACTGTCTTTGAGAAAGATAAATTTACAAAAAAGCTTTAGTGGCAACGTCACCTTTACACTTTTAAATTGTGGTTGGTTCGCATTGATGTGTGAATAAATTGTGCTAGAAAGTCGCCTATTAATTACAGGTTCATAAAGTAAGTTTTATGGAAGAGAGAAAAGGTGTGTGTGCATCTTGCTTTATCCTATTACTCGTGAATAAGCCCATAATCCCAATCTGTTTGCAAGAGCTAATATACATCAGGCTTCCTGAAACAGTGAGTCTACCATGTGCACGAAAAAATTCGCAACACAATGTGAGAAACAGTGTAGGCACTCAAGAAGTTTCCCACAGACATGCACAGCTGGCATGGCAACCACAATTACTGATCTTGGGGGCTTTGTATGTCCATAAATTACTTCAGGGAATGGCAACAGATGGTGACACAGTAGTACGGTGTACTCTGGCAGTGCAGGCCGTTGTCACAAATAGCACCTTGTTTTCGGTGACATACTGTTGCATTCCTGTGCACCATATTTAAACAGATCCACTGTTAAAATGTGCTTAGTGGTCCTGCGCAACATATTTTTGTCCACTTCCTGCCTGCTAGCACTGTCTTCCAGCTACTCCTGTTCTCTTGGACGGATCTAGTGATGAAAGTGCTGCTCCAAACAATTTTTGTTCATAATTGCTCCGAACTTGCTATGAAATGACAGTGAGAGAATGATGAGCTTTTACTGTTTGACAGAAGTCCTATAGGAACTGAAAAGAATCTGTATACTATCATCCCAGTATGCTACTAGTGTGCAGCATTATCGACTCTGATTTCATTTGTGTGACAAAAATTTGTATATTAAGCATATAGCGCGTTTGGCAGGCTACTGTGTAAAATGCAGGGGTGGAAGTGCTGCGCCATCTTGCTTCAATAGGACCTGCTACGCCAGGCTGCGCATAAACGGCCATTTCCACAATAATCAATTGGAAGCATAAACTGCCAAATCTAGCCGATCATTATCGTCGGCCGAGCAACGCTGAGCATCGGATACACAAAGAATGCGGCCGCATCTATATCCTGTGCAGTTCGATCACATGTTTGATTATGATCATGTTGTAATTTAGGTTCATTCATGGTGCTGGCTAGTGCTTGTCTCATCGGTACTATTGCTGTGGTTTCTTCGCAAAAGTGGTGACACCAACATGATTAACTATGGATTATCTAGTAATGCTGTGAAACCTCGATAATTTGTACCAGCTGGGAACGCGGCATGATCATACACTAAACAGAAGTACAAGCACAAATGTGCATCTCCTGCCGTGTGCTACCACCACTGGTAAACAGATACTGTGGCAAAGCAGATGTTGCCCAAAGTATTTAGCACAAAGCCTTTTCTACCTTTTTTGCCGAAGTGCGGAAAAGAATACTGGGCTGGCACTCTTGCACGATCGTATGGTAGCGCTCTGCGGCAGGGCCAAAGAGCATTTAAAAACTACTACAGGGTCCGTGATACGCATCGACTGAAATAGCGACAGAACAAACACTAACGGCCTTCCGTGATACATATGTGTGCATCTCCATGCCGATGTGATACTAAGCGACAACTGACAGTGTCATCGAAACACGGAGTATGCGTGGACTCCATGCAACATCTCCTGATTAGTTGTGTATAGCCCGGCGTCTATGCTGCCCATGCCGTTGGTGCCGGGCGGCTAGTTGTACTGTGCACGCAAATTTGCCTTGTGAATTGCTCATCCCACTTCGCTCCAGGCAGATGAGCAGAGTAGCTTGTTCAATTAGCTTTGGAATAACATGCTTCTGCAAAGTGAAGGGCGCAATTATTTAGCAGTCATAAAAAAGAGAGATTAGAATTGTATACCCATTGTTTTCTCAGAGTTATTTCACTGCCAGCTGTGATGTTTAATGATGGGAACACGGAGGCACACATGCACACACACACATGCATTTGTATGTAGTAAGTCTGGTCAACTCATTAGTACTGAATGTTTAGTGAAAACAATTGGAATTTTTATTCATCAGGAATAATTTTGATTGAAAATGATGTTTTACCCTATAAAGTTGCTCCATAACTAACTTTCATTGCTCCAAAACACACAGTTTGGTCTCCGAACATGTTCCAATACACCATTTTACTGCACCAAAGCTGCTCTAAAACAGCTTTATTCCTGCTTCCTGAGCTGTTCCAAAACACTTAAGTTCACTTCCACCCCTGAAAATGTGAAAATGAGCAGGATTGCTTTTATCTCATGCGGATTATCTACTGCCTATTTGGCAACAGTTATGTGGAGCTGTGGTTAGTTCTAAAATATGGTGCTGTTATCTGTTATAAATATTAGTATTTTAATTATATAGCTCATTTCACAGTACTTTTTTGACCACCAGCAATTTTTTTAATTGTTTGCTTCTTGAAATTTAGATTGATTGTTGTCTGTGAAATATATTTTATAAAAAATGCCAGGCCTGCATGGTAGGCGCAGCACAGTCACAGCGAAAGCTAGAAGAGCGACCTTTCAGAGCTTTTTCAAAACACTCATTGGGTAACTATTGCAAGCACACTTGCTTGTTACCCACTAGGGCATTAATAATATACTTTTGGGTAGTAGGCTGGCATTCGCTTTGCTATTTTTCGTCATTCTTCTGAGAAGTGTGGTATCCGCTAAACACTTGCAAGGAATTTTGTGCCAATTGCCCATGCAGTGGCTGACGACGATGAGGAAATATGACTGAAGTGAGTATGCGCCACAGTTGATAGGGAAACAAGAACAAGCTTTTGTAATAGGTTGGAGCACTGGACGGCCCACTCGTTACGCTATTCACATTGTGCGACGACTGGTAGTTCTTTCGCTGTTGTAAAACGCGTTATAAGTCGTACTAACGCGATTGCTTTCCCGACATCAAGCGTGCCTAAGGCAAGTTTGACAACAAGTTACAAGCACCGGCGTAACTCAGTGGTAGAATATTGGGCTGGCGTCCAGCGAACCCAGGTTCAAGCCCCATTGTGTCATTGGTGCAAGGTTTTTTTTTTTCCCAATTTCTCGCGATGTGGTTACGGACACCGGTGGCGGACAACAACTGTGCGTGACCCGAAAAGTGATCTCATAACAGCTTTTCTTGTAATAAATATTAATACTTACGAGATGCTTGACGATGCTTTGAACTCCAATTGGTGAATGACAGATTTTGTATCTGCTCCTGAAACACTAATGGGTGCTTCAATGTATTTTTGTTGTTTGTTTTTCTCTCGAAAAACACTTATGGCTGCTCTCAGTACTTTTCGTGCTTCAAAGCTTGCTTGAAAAAGTAGAAAGTCACTTCCATCACTGCATCTGTTCTCTTGGACATCCCCACCTGCAGGCTTTCAAGCACGGCCACGACTTGGTCCTTGACAGCGAAATCCTCATGGTCGACACACACACGCAAAAGCCGCTGCCCTTTGGAACACTGGGCATCCACAAGCGAGCAGCCTTCAAGGACGCGTCCGTGTGCCTTTTTGTCTTTGACTGCCTCCACTACAACGGCAAGAGCCTGCTGGATCGGACACTGCGTGAGCGCCGGGAGATCCTCCAGGCCAACATGTCGCCCATCAGGAACCACATTGTGTTCAGTGAGCAGCATGTGATCACGACGCGTGAGAAGCTGCGAGACCTCATCAACGACGTTCTTTCTCAGGGCCTTGAAGGTCTTGTGCTCAAAAACCCCGATGGCGTTTATGAACCAGGAAAGCGACATTGGCTCAAGGTTAAGAAGGACTACCTTGAGGTAATCAAGTACTGTACCAGTGTTGCATGGTTACATTTTATCATGATTGGGCTCGACCCTGATCAAATTTCTTAATCGTGATTGGCTATTTTATGCAAGGAAACCAATCAGGCTTGAGGAATTCGATTCCAAACTGGCTTAATTGTGATCAGCAGTGAGCTTTCTGATACTAGTCGTAGGTTGCTCTAGCCTCTCTGTAATCACACTTGAGGGAGGCATTATTATAGGTCGCATTAAGAGTAAAAATACGCCAGGCCTGCGGGGAAAGCGCAGCACAGTCACAGCGAAAGCTAGAAGAGTGGCCTTTCAGAGCCTTTTATAAAGACTCTTTGGGTAACTACTACAAGCACACTTGCTGGGTAGCCACTGTGCCATAAATCATAATTTTCTGTGTAGTAGGGCAGCATTCACCATGCTACCCTTAGTCATTCTCCGGAGAAGCGTGGTATCCACTACACACTTGCTAGGAATGTGGTTCCTTTTTTTCTATGCAGTGGCTTACGACGATGAAGAATTATGCCTGAAGTGGGTGTGCACTACAGTTAATAGGCAATCAAGAACAATTTTTCTAATGGATTGGAGCATTGGACGACCCACTCATTATGCAATTCACATTGGATGACTCCTGGGTGTTTCTTTGATGTTTTAAAACGCTTTATTACTTATATTAACGCAATTACTTTCCCGACATCAAGCCTGCCAAAGGCCAGTTTAGAAATGAGTTCCAAGCACCGGCGTGGCCCAGTGGTAGAATACTGGGCTGGCACGCCGGTTTGAATCCCATTGTCCCCTTGGTGTTCATTTACTGTGTCTTATTTATTTATTTCTTGCAATAGTGGTTACGGATACCAGCGGCAGACAACTACGGCTTGGCCTGTGTTCCGATCTCATAACAGCTTTCATTGTAAAATGTAGCTGGGCTGACCCAGATTTAATGTGTAGAATGCGCAATTGGAGGTCCGTCAGCAACAGAATGTACACAAAAGATGAGAAGCATAGCCAAAGATTATTAGGTGATTTCATCAAATGGACAAGTTTGTTTGCATCAGATGGAACTGGCTTATCTGAGACAGAAGAGCGTAAAGCAGCTAGGAGAGGCTTTGGACTTGTGGTAAATGTAAAACTGGCTCACGACGATGTGTATATGTAATCATGAGTAGCATTGGTGTCACTCTTTTTTCTTTTTATTTTTTTCGACCCAGAGTTCAGCTACAGGATACTACAGTTTCAATGACTCCATTGCATTTATCTGCAAAAAGCATTTGCAATTTTTTCTTCAGAATTTTTCAATAACAGAAGCAGCTTTAATGTATTGTTGTTCAACACGGCACCAAAAAATGGTGTTGGAATGCACCACCAATATTTTATTTTAGTATGGACCTTTGAGACAAGTCATGTGTGTGGCACCAGTGCAGTCCCATTCTTGTGCTTCATAAACTGATTATCAATACCAAAAATAGGAATGAAATGGTGGAAGTCGTTTTGATAAGTGAAAAGGCAGTGTTAAACAATACTTCACAAATTCTTCTGTGTCAGTCTTAAAACTTTACCACGAAGATCATTATCCCCGTCTGACTGCAAAGTTACCATGATGTGTGTCGTGACAGGAGGCCGATATGTGGGCATTAAGGTAGTGGTGTTGTAACTTGTGTGCCATTCTATGCACTCTTTTATCATTTTACTCTGCACTTGATTTTTAGAAAAAGTAGAGTGCCAAGCATAACTGCTCCTATGACAGGAAGAACTGTTAGTCAAACTGCCTTTTGTGTTCTTTTAAGTGCGAGGCAATGTGTTATATGCAGGGTGGAAGCATGGCAGATTCAGCAGACCTTGCAGTGCTTGGAGCATACTTTGGTACTGGAAGCAACGGTGGCATCATGTCTATCTTTCTGATGGGCTGCTGGAATCCGGCAACCGGCCGCTGGTGTACCGTCACCAAAGTCCACGGTGGCCACGATGACAAGACACTCGAGCGACTTCAGACGGAACTGGAAATGAAGAAGATATCACGGCAGATGGAGCGTGTGCCTGCGTGGCTTGATGTCGAGAAGGTGCTGGTGCCAGACTTTGTCGCCAAGGACCCGGACTTGACACAGGTTTGGGAGATAGCCGGTGCCGAGTTCACTCGAGCCGAGGTGCACACCGCGGATGGTATCTCGATCCGCTTCCCGCGGGTCACACGCATTCGGACGGATAAGACTCCAAAGGAGGCAACGACACTACCGGAGCTGCGGAAGATGTTCCAGAACTCTAGGGCAAAGCCCTTCGACCTGGACCTTGGCGAAGATGAAGGCAGCATCGGAAACGCTTCGTTCGCCTCGACAGACAAGTCGTCTTCGTCAGAGAAGCCCGCTTCGCCGTGGAAAAACAAGTCTTCAAAACGATCTGACTCTCCCAAGCAGACCCCCTCATTGGTTTTGAAACGAGAGCCTGAAGGCAGCGTCACGAACGCTTTGTTTTCCCCTACAGACAGGTCCGCTTCGGCCAGGAAAAACATTTTTTCGAAAAAATTTGATTCTTCAAAGCAGACACCATCATTGGTTTTCAAGCGAGAGCCTACACCTGTTAACGAGCGTCAACAAGAAGGAGCACTAAAGAATATTGTCAAAGCCGAAGCATCTGCAGAAAAGAACAAGATTTGCGACTTTCCCGACGTCTTCACAGGTGTACGAATGTGTCTTCCTCCAAGCAGGCTGCTAAGAAGGTACTTCGTTGCATACAATGGTACGCTTGCAGAGAGTGACGGTGATAACGTGACGCACATTTTGTCGTCTCCAAATGTAGGCGTTAAACAGTGTTCACATTCAGCAAAGACTGTTACCGTGGATTGGCTGTGGGACAGCATTAGACGACAGAAACGTCAGGACGAAGCGAGGTACTCCGCGTGACTGCACTTGTCATTTTTCAGCCTTCCTTCCGTGTGGTTTTGTAGCTGTGGAAAATGCCTGCTAAATGAGACATTGAAGTTGACACAGTCTTAGTGCTGAAATTCCTGCTTGCTATATCGATTGTACTTGCATTTGCCTTCAAAGAAGACTGCTGTAGAAATAATTCATTCACCTGCACTGCTGCCATATTGGTTAATCTATGTAATTGTACAGTTTTTACTTTTTTTTTAGTTACTGATGTTTGCTTTCGAATATCCTTATTTGTGTCAAAGCGCGTTAAATTGGAGCTTTTTAAGAGATGCCCAGCTGTTATTATTATAAACAGATTGCATTGTGATGGCAGAGCTGCCATTACTATGATAGAATGATGGCCCTTCCTTCCAGCTGTAGAAGACAATATTTGAGCCTTGCTTTAGCTATGCGCAGTATACACTTTTCCTTCAATACTTTATTGATCACTGCAGTGAGGGTGTTTCCTCGCAGGTTGGTTTCTGGGCCAACATGCAAAGTGAAATGTGCCTCACCAAAAATTAGAACCTTCAGGTTGCATTGATGTTGCTGGCGGTAAAGGTCCCCTTAGGAGCCAACTATCTCGGAGTCATGGAAAGCAATATCAAATGCCATACTTTTATATAATGCAAGTGCTGGAAATGCATCATGATCGCTATGTTTTTGGCACCACTTTTTAAAAAACTTACTACAATGAACTTTTGTTTTCGTTATAAGTAGGCGTGGTGCTGCTCTCTTGGAGCAGTTCTGGCGAAGTTGCGAGGTCTGTAGTTAAAGTTCTTTATTAATGGCCTTCTATTATCATGTTTGCAATATCACTTGCATCTGATCGTTATTTGATTGTTTCAAAACCCCATACACTTGGCCACTAATGTTTCAAGCATGCCGTGGACGCTGCATGTTCTCTGAGGTCACGCCGATAGGCATTGGTTCTGAACCTTGCCCTCTCCTAATTTATTCTATATATAAATAAAAGTAATAATTGTAAGCATGGTATTAAACTGAATTTACATTGATGCTCCGAGCACAATTGACTTGGTGGCTTACACATAAGTTCACATATGCTTTTGTACCAATGTGTATGTGCTAGCGGATGTGTGTAAGATAAAATTTCACTACTGCGACGTTATTACTAGAGGCTTGATTTTTAGACATTAAAAAGTGTTTTAGGTGCCAAAGACAGGCAGGTAAAACACTGTTTTAGTCCCTCAATATCATAATTATAGGCACAATAAATTTCTACAAAAATTGAAATAACCCAGAACAACGATGTCGGTGACTTGTACCTATGGCAAAAAGCAAGAAAAAATGATACTGTTTTTGATAGAAGGAAGGTATCAACAATTGAACATAGGCATGCATTTCCTACGCGATTCGCAGTATGTGGTTTTTTGTTTTATTGTCTAGCATTGTGCGTCAAGTGTCCACCATTAAATTGACACTTTTATGGGTCTATTTTGTTTCGTTGTAGCTGGGAAGGGCAGCACAGGAGTGAATAACCAGGCCACTGATACTTCAGGAAAGAGGAATGCTAAGTCTAATCACGTAGGACCAATTTCTCCCCTATCAGTGAACACTAAGCTTAAAGGACTCCTCACTAGGTTTGGGCATTTTGAGCAGACAAGCATAATGGTGCACTGGGAACTCCGGATTATTCCTGTTAATATTTGCAAAATTACATGCCGCGGAAAAACGCTCAATTTTTAAGAATGCCACTGCCTTTCTCGGGGGCGGGCGCCGCAAGATCTAGGGAGTGACGTACAGCAAGGAATGGTCATGTTTTTATGTTGCTCCTTTACGTTGACATTTGTGGGCTGACGTCGCATATCATAAGCTCTTTATCAGATCTTCATTAAATGCTAGCTATATGTAGAAAAACACGAAAAATTTCCCGCTTCCTGATTATATCATGCATTTTAAACGGTACCTCATTAAGAGCGTTTCACGTGACATTGCTCTACTTGGCATGTACAATTTGTGTGTTCTGTTGTGTAACATGAATGAGGAGTATTTTGGTTTGGGCTAGCTGCTTCATATCATTTTGAAAGGGAAGTGCAAAGACAAAGGTTTGTCGCTAAGTCTTTCTTTTCCCTGTGTCTTTGCACTGCCCTTTGAAAATCAGTATAATGAATGAAAGCTGAAAAGAAATAAAAAAACGCAAACAGAATCTCACCTTTGTATTATTTTTATATTTGTTTTGGAATAGCCTCGAGATGCTATTAACTAATTGGCCCTCGTTTCGCATCCGCTTCAGTGGACCAGTCGCTATAGGGTGCTCCGCTGCTGACCTTAATGCCGCCCGTTCGATTGTGGCCTCGGCGGTAGATGTAGATGCCCGTGTACTGCGCGATGTCAGTGCACGTTAAAGAACACCAGTTGGTCAAAATTTGTGGAGACCTCTACTACGGCATCCCTCATATTCATATTGTGTTTTTTTTTACGTAAAACCACATATACTACCAGTGCTACGACTACTACTAATACTACTAATACTACTACTACTACTACTACCCCATTTCGCTTGCATTCGTCTTCTCGTCGTTTCTGCGTTGTGCCTTCGCCGACCGTGACAACGCTTAGCTTGTGTTTGGTGCGTCGTCTCTGAACGCAGTTTCAGCGGAGTGACCTGGTGTATCGCGGTCGCAATACATGATCCTTGCCAGCCTCTTCTAAAGTACACGCACTGACCTATCCATCCCACAGAAACAAGTAATACGCAACAAAAAACGCCGAAACGACACAACATCGATGGAATAGGTGCACAAGTAGGCTGGGGCATGTCATGCGTGCGTGACCTTGCTTACGCATGTTGTTCTCGTTGCGTATGCGTCATGCGATTCTCCAGCCCTTATACCAAAGAGAACAGGGAAGGAATGAGGCTCGCGATGGCTACGCAGGACGACAGGCAAGGGATTCAAGCTTGCTTCTTCGGATCATGCTATGGGGGCTCGTAGCGAACCAATTTGAAAAATCGCCGTGGTAGAACACTTTTCATTAGGCATGCAAGAACTTCTAGTGTCTAACTACAACTTATTATGTCACCTAGAAAGGAACGCTTAAAAAGTAAATTACAAACAAAAAAAAGCCACACGCACATCTCACTTTTTACCCGAAGGCGCTGCAGCAGATGGGTTACAATGTCAGAGAAAACACGCCTGCATTGGCACAACACACTTTGTTCTTTTTATAAGCCATTTTATTCTGTCATGAAACTACCAAAAAATGAATTGATAGCAATATTATATCTGGTATGACATTCTAAAATATTAAAACACTTACCATTTTGCCAAGGGGACTGTTCAAGTACATTCATTTTCGAATGCTAGTTTTACCATGCAATGCTTGGCATAGGAGCGTTAACCGCAGTTTAATTCGACGCAGTGATGATAATTCCCGTCCTAGTTCATTTTTCATATTGTTACAGCTATCATTTTTGAGCAATAGCTTAGGACAAACGATGAAGTCCTGTTCTGTGTATTTTTTTATGTTTGTCACTTAAAAGACGTATGACAATGCATCTCATACAAAACAAGCATATTCAAGCATACGGAGAATGTATGCTAAATACACCATTGATTGTAAACATGCCGGTGCCTGTCTCAGGCTTCGCTTTATAAAGTATAGCGATTTGGCGACCTTCGCCACCACTGAATCAACAAGAGCATTCCAAGAGGGGCCCTTCATGGTTTTTCATTTGTTTCCAACTACCCGCGGCTGCCCAGAAAAACCTGCTCTTCCTTTCCTACCGCACACCAGGTTTTCAGGGTGGTTTTTCAGTTCCTTCAGGGCACCGGACAGCTGTCTGTAGAAGGCGGTCGCTGCATCCTCAATCATAGACATCACTTTTATTTTCTTACCCCATCTTTAATTCTCCCTCCTCCTACCCCTGCAGACGCTGAAACGTGCTTCCACTTAGGGCTGCAGAAATAGCGCCTGTTTCACTCCTTATGCTTTTCCTCTAATCGCTCGCAGCTTGTCAGCTTTGTCTTTGTTGAACCTTATAGTGTTTGGAAATATCAATGCTGCCTTTTTTTTACATGAAAAGTGGCTTCACACTACACTCGCAAACAAATTTTGGGCTTGAATAGCAATCATATATGCACTCATTTGGAAAATAGGCATTTGTAGGCACTTATAGGCATTTAGGCACAAACACCCAAAATAGGCATTTATAGGCACTATAAAAACACCATGAAAGCCCTTCTTAACCTCTAACTTATACTCATATATCAAAATGGCACGATGGAAACGTAAGGAACAAAATAGGCATTTGCCTATAATCCGGTCTCAGGTTATTATCTTTCAGTTTTATACCCCTGTCACATGGCAAATCTGATTAATTTACAACAAATGACATTGAGTGGACCTAACGCCATTTTACCTGTGTGCTGTCACATGAAGAAAACAAATGTCATTTTAAAATGGTGGCCATGACCTTAGCCTTCTTGAGCCATGGCTTTGCGAAAAATGGATGAAAACTTCCATATAATGCGTGTATATCCTCAAAAATAAATTTTTATCACTAAAATGTGCTCCTAAAATGAAAATGCAGCCGCTTTACGCAACTTTCCACAGCTGCACGACAAAAACGGAGTCCAGTTAAGAGCCACTTGAAGACAAACATGACGGGGCAGCGAGAGTATATAGTGAGCATGGATGCATGACTGAATGCCGAGCCTCATAAATGAGAGAGCAGCAGCGATTTTGCCACCCTGATCACCACAACCCGTGCAATAAAAGCAACAACAACCACAACAGAGCACGAATGAAACATGGCCGGCGTCCTGCCACTGTAGTTGAGGATAGCTTTCTTTTAGAAATTGTCGC